AGGAAGCTATTCGTCAGTAAATTGCAAGCAAGTCTCCAGCGAAAGCGCGACTCCAGAGGCCCGCGAGAACGATCCTTGAATACATTGCAAGCGGCTCCTCAATGAAATGCGAGGAAGTCTCGGGTGGGAACGGGGGTCCTGGCTAAATTGCAAGGAAGTCTCAGGCGGGAGCCGTTCTTGTTGTAACCCGGGGGCCAGGGGCACAATTTGAGCATCATGACTTTCCGTGTCAAAAATCAGGTGTAAGCGTCGAGGGGCACACCTGCACCGGTGAGGAGGACCAGCAATAATTATTCTTCAGAAGTGAGAGTTCAACTACATCATCATCATCATCATCAACAACAACAGCAACAGCAACAACAGCAACAGCAACCACCGCACAAACAACATCAACAACCACAACAACAACAGCAACAACAACAACACCAACCAACAAACAACCACAAACAAACGAACAAACCAACAGACACGCAAACCCACAAACCAACAAACAATCAGACAAACAAACAAACAATGCCAACCAACCAACCAACCAACAGCAAACAACACGCATCAACAACAACAAACAACATGTTACCCGAATGCTCTCTGAATCTATATGCATCCATCATGATGGCTGCTCCCTCATGCATGCCACGGGGAGGTCTTCTCTTGCACCGAGGGGTCCGATATTCCATTACTCGAATCTTCCGCCCGAGGAGGTCTTGACAACACCTCTTCCGAGGCACTTCAACATCTCCCGCCCGGATGGCACATCGCCTTCGCAATCGCCCCGCCAAGGCCGTGCTTCTAGGTGTCACCACGCCCGAATGGCCAAAAAACCTCTGGGAGAGGCCCCACAACCGCTGGGAGAGCCCGCGGAGCCCCTTGGACAGCCTCTGGAGCCCCTTGGAGAGCCCGCAGAGCCTCTCAGAGAAGCTTCAGAACCCTTGCGGGGAACATAGGGGCCCTTGGGAGACGCCTTTAAACTGAACTGGAGAATTTGGGGGCATTGTGAAGGAGGCCTCAAGGCAGTTTTGGACAAGGTTTGGATCGGCGGAGCTTCGTGGCCTCGGGGAGGGAAGCTCCGGAGGGAGCAGGACAAGGAGGAGGAAGAGGAGGAAAAAGGAGGAGGGACGACGAGGGGGGAGGAGGAGGAGGAGGAGGAGGAGGAGGAGTAGGAGGAGGAAGAGGAGGAAGAGGAGGAGGAGGAGGAGGAGGAGGAGCAGGAGGAGCAGGAGGAGCAGGAGGACGAGGAGGAGAAGGCGGATGAGGAGGAGGAGGCGGATGAGGAGGAGGACGACGACAAAGGCGACGGGGTCGCCGCCGCGGGCTCTCTGGAGGACCCTGGCACGCGGAGCGCACCAAGGAGGCACTGGCGCAGACATCCGACGGAGCGTGCTGCATTCTTGAGTCGAAATGAGGGCCTGGGGAAGCCCCAGGGTCTGTGGAAATCTCGAATCAAAGCGGAGGAAGTACCGAGCGAGAGCGTTGTTTGCAGGGGGGGGCGACTGCGGCGCCGGGGCGGGAACTTCATTTCTAAATTATCCCAGAGCGACCCTACCTAGGAGATGGAGCCCCGAGGAGAGCAATATTAGTAGTAACGGTAAACGCCGTCCTCATCCTTCTCCTCATCGTCGCAGTTGTAGCAGTAGCGGTAGTAGCAGTAGTAGCAGTAGTAGTAGTAGTAGTAGTAGTAGTAGTAGTAGTAGTAGTAGTAGTAGTAGTAGTAGTAGTAGCAGTAGTAGTAGTAGTAGTAGTAGTAGTAGTAGTAGTAGTAGTAGTAGTAGTAGTAGTAGTAGTAGTAGTAGTAATAGTAGTAGTAGTAGTAGAAGTAGTAGTAGTGGTAGTAGTAGTAGTAGTAGTAGTAGTAGTAGTAGTGGTAGTAGTAGTAGTAGTAGCAATGGCGGTAGGGTATGCTAGGCTGCGCTATGTTATGTTATGATGTGTTATGTTATGCTGCGCTATGCTATGCTATGCTATGCTATGCTGCGCTATGCAATGCTATGCTGCGTTATGCTGCGATATGCTATGCTATGCTAGGCTATGCTATGATATGTTATATTGCGCTATGCTATGCTATGATATGCGATGCTGCGCTATGCTTTGCTGTGCTATGCTATGGTATGCTGCGCTATGCTATGCTATGCTATGCTATGACATGATGCGTTGTGCTATGCTATGTTACGCGATGCTATGCTGCAATATGCTGCGCTGTGCTATACTATGCTAAGCTACGCCGTGCGCTGCTATGATATGATATGTTATGCTATGCTGCGATATGTTATGCTATGTTATGATATGATATGCTGCGCTATGCTATGATATGATATGGTATGTTCTGGCATGATATGATATGATATGCTATGCGAATGGTGCGCTGCGCAAAGCTAAGCTGAGCTGAGCTGAGCTAAGCTAAGCTAAGCTAGGCTAAGCAAAGCTGAGCTAAGCTAGGCTAGGCTAAGCTAAGCTGAGCTAAGCTAAGCTAGGCTAAGTTAAGCTAGGCTATGATGCGATAAGCAACGCTAATCCCAGGGAGCGTCACTGGGGGAACCGCGGGGCGGATGCCGGGGGAACCGCCCGGGGCGTTTTGCACTGCCCGGCCCTTTAAGTTTACAGAGTAAGAAGCCTTCTAGGCAGAGCCTAGGTAAGGAATACAAAAACACAAACGTATCGACCGGGAGCGCCGAAAGCCAGCTTTCGACGGCGAGCATGAGCGCCGATCCCGAGTAGAAAAACAATCGAGCGGGAACGACGTTGTTGTTGGGAAACCGGTTTCGGCGCAACCCCGAGACGCCTGAGCGTGAGACCAATTTTCAAGGGAAATGCAGTCAGCGCTGAGGCGAGAGGGCCACAGCGGATGTAGGGCGTCTGACAATAACAAGTGGCACCTGTGCCATGGCCCTTGCACCAAAAAGAAGGGGGAAGGGTCGGAGTGGTGTGCCGTGCCAAAATAAAGGGGTCGGGGCGGAGGGGCGCGCTGGCTTGTGAGTGGCTGGGTGGGGTGGGGGGGTGTGGGGTGGGGTGGGGGGGGGGGGGGGGCGAAATCAAGGGGTCGGGGCGGAGGGGCGCGCTGGCTGGTGGGTGGGGGGGATGCGGAGGGGGCGCGCGGGGCGCGCGGGGAGGGAGTGGGGGCCGTGCCGAAATAAAGGGGTCACGGGGCGGAGGGGGCGCGATGGGGGATGCGGGGGGGGGGGGCCGTGGCGAAATAAAGGGTCGGGGCGGAGGGGAGCGCTGGCTGGTGGGTTGGATGCGGAGGGGTGTGCCCGAAATAAATGGTCGGGGCGGAGGGGGCGCGCGGAGACGGTGTGTCGTGCCGAAATAAAAAAGGGTCGGGGCGGAGGGGGTGCGCTGGCTGGTGTATGGGGGGATGCAGGGGGGGTGCCGTGCCGAAATAAAAGGGGTTGGGGTGGGGGGGCGCGCTGACTGGTGGGTGGGGGGATGCGGAGGGGGTGTGCCGTGCCGAAAGAAAGTGATCGGGGCGGAGGGGTGTGCCGTGCCGAAATAAACGGGTCGAGGCGGAGGGGCGCCCTGGCTGGCGGGCGGAGGGGGTCTGCCGTGCCGAAATTAAAAAGGGTCAGGGCGGAGGGGTGTGCCGTGCGGAAATAAAGGGGTCCGGGCGGAGGGGCCCGCTGGCTGGTGGAATGTGTGGGTGATGCAGGGGGTGCCGTGCCGAAATAAAGTGGTCGGAGCTCTAGACACCCTGTGCAAGAGAATAATTTTCGAATAGTTAAGGTTTGGTGTTCGCGCCTTTTCGGCTTACCGGCGCTCCAAGACGGCCCAAGAGGCTTCCAGGATCGCCCCAACAAGGCCCAAGAGGCATCCAAGAGCGCTCAAAACGGCCCCAGAGGGCCCCACTGCAGCCCCAGAGGCCTTCAAGATGGCCGAAGAGGCTCCCAAGGCGGCTCCAAGAGCGGGCCGCCCAGACGAGACCCGAATGGACCTTTGGAGCTTTAGGCGCAGAGAGGTCCCCTGGAGGCCCCAAGAGGCCCCCAAGAGGCCCCCGAGAGGCCCCCGAGAGGACCCGAGAGACCCCCAAGAGGCCCCCAAGAGACCCCCAAGACACCCCCAAGAGGCCCCAAGAGGCCCCCGTGACGCCCCAGGGGGTCCCAGAAATCCCACCAAGAGGCCCAAAAAGACGCTCCAAGAGGCCCATCAACGGCCTCCAAAAGACCACGAACGCGCAGGCAAACGCCTGCGATGGCACAGTACGGGCAGGCGGAGTGAGCGAAGTGATTAACTCTCCAATAGTTGAGGTTCAACGTCGACTAGGGAACCCCAGGGCTTCCTGGGAGTTTGAATAAAAACTGAGGACGTCCCGAGCGGGAGCGTCGTTGTTTGCTAGGGGGCCGTCTGCGGCGCCGGTCCTGAATAAAAAAAGGACGTACCGGCCGGGAGCGCGGGTCTTGTGGGAAAACCAGCTTTCGGCGGCGAGCAAGAGCCCTGATCCCGAGGGAGAATCAGGCTGGACCTGGTGCTTTTGTAAAACGGGGGCCAACAGCACAATTCTGAGACCCAGGACTTTCTCTGATACAAGACAGGGTGCGAGCCCCAGGAAGGGCACTCCAATTGGAAAAACAAAATGTGCCCCTGAGGGGGGGTCAACTATAATTTGTTCAACAATGAGAATTCAATAATTATCCGGACTGCGGATCCCCACTTCAACCACGCGCTTGCAGGGACGGTGTAACACCGTTCGGCTCCCTCACGCAGATCTACACAAATTCCTGGATCTCCGATGTCCCACATGTTCTGGATGGTTCTCTTCCCTTCCATATCCCATATTTCCAAAACTCCCCTGAGAATCAAGATGTGTTTGTGCCTGGGTCTACTGCCTACCTAACCACCCCAACCCAACCCGCAGACCCAAAACTCGTGATGGGGGCGTAATTACGGGTTTTACATGTGCCTTTCCAATGTTTCCCGACGCCCATCCCCTTGGAGTGGAAGGCAAACTGAGACCTTCGGGTTGGGTTGGGGTGGCTTGGTGGGTGGTGATTCGTCCCTCCTGACGCTCCTGCTCCGCCTCCAGCTGCGGCTCCGCTGCCACAGCCGCCACGGGGTCGGCCGGCGCGGGGTCGGCTGGTGTGGGGTCGGCTGGTGCCTCTGAAGGGGCCCTGGGACACACCAATAAATAGACACAAATAACAGGATTCCCTATATCTTCCCACATGTTCTGGGTTTTTGCCTTCCACCCCCACCCACCTCCCATATTTCCCGATATTTTCCTGAGAAGGGGACGATGAATTGTGTCTGTGTGTTTTCCCCTCCTGCGCCTCCGCCGGCGGCTCCGCGAAGCCGGTGGCCGGGAGCTCGGCCTCCGCGGCGGGGATCAGGTCGGGCACCATGCTGGCGGCGAGGGCGGCCACGTCCAGCCGGGCCGAGGTGCCGAAGAGCGCCTCGACGTGCGCCGCCACCAGGGGGGCCAGGATGTGCGCGAGGTGCCGGCACATGCGCGTGAACTCGGCGGCCTTTGATGGGCCTCTTTTCCACCACCACCACCATAAGTTGGAGGGGGAGGGGGTCCTCCTCCTCCTCCTCCTCCTCCTCCTCCTCCTCCTCCGCCTCCGCCTCCTCCTCATCCTCCTCCTCCTCCAACTTATGGTGGTGGTTGTGGAAAGCAGGCCCATCAGCCTTGGGCGAAGCGGCAGACCCGAGCAGGGCTGCCTGGGACCCCTTGGCGGCGCGCAGCAGGCTCACGGCGGCGGCCAGGCACTCGAAGCACGCGGCGAGCACCGGCACCCGCAGGCCGTACAGCGCGCACTGCCGGAGCTCGTTGAACACCTGAACGGCGGGAAGAAACGGGTCTCGCGCGAGAAGACACAGCGACCTTACGCGGTGCGCGGGCCGCCAGCGCGGCACGCCGCATTGGCAGCTCGCGCGGGAATGTCGGCGCAGTCGAAGCCGCTGCTCTTCACAGACCCCCGACGTCATGATTGGTTCATGACGTCGACCCCCAGCGGCCTGGCCCCGCTCCCCGGGACCGGCTTTTTTCATCCCGGACCGTTCTTGGCGCTCCCGAGGGCCGGCAAGGCCTCCCCGGAGGCCGAGACTTCGGGAAGCACCTCCCGTCGCGATTTTTCCACGACGCGAGGGGGTCTGGCTTCGTCGCTCGCCTGCACGAGGTCGTTGGTGAAGACGGCGAGGGGCCTGTGCCTGGTCAGCTCCAGCGCCTGCGGGTGGAGCCACCCGGGGGCGCCGGCCGCGCCCGGCGCCCCGGCGGCGGTGGAGGCCGCGCTGCTCGCGATGGCGGTCGAGGGGACCCAGTCATATCGCCCGAGCTCGGCCTGGAACGTGAGGACGGCGATGTCGAGCATCTCCGACACGTGCCGCTCCATGCGGGCCTCGAAGATGCCGGCCACGGCGGGGAAGAAGTGGCCGCCCAGCCGCTTCAGCGTGCTGGAGGCGACGAGGCACTGCTTCAGCACCGTGGCGATGGAGGCCGCATCGATCCTCGCGCCAGCAGCCGCTGGCCCGCGGGCCCCCGCGGCCGCGCTGGCCCTGCCGACTGCGCCCGCGCCAGCCTCCCCACCGCCAGCGGGCAGCAGGTGGCAGCTCAGCAGGCCAGTGAGCCAGGCGATTTGCTCGCCGAGCCACGCCCCCAGCGGGGCGTCGTCCTGTGGGGCGCAGGAGGACACACTAGTACTGCATGTCCTCTTTGGAGGCGTGCGTCCGACCAGATCATGCACTACAGCGATATTGAAGCACACTGCTACCCCAGCGGTATGGCCAGACAACGACCGCCACCGAATATTTATATACATATATATATATATATATATGTATGATAAGGGGTGAGGTTTCTGAGCGCGCTTGTCCCTTCTTTGCGGGCGGCGCACAAATAGTATTAGTAATGAGTATGTTTGGGTGACGACGATCCTGTGGGAAGAGAGCCTTGTACTGGGTGCCAATGTCATACGCGTGCGTGCGGAGTACGTCCGCTGCGTTTCGCAGCGCCGTCACGACGCTGCCGCGGTTGCCGCGCAGGAGTTCGACCTGCTGCTTGTGGCCCTCCAGGAAGCTTCCTCTATGCTCGATGAAGAGCGCACGGAGCTCTTTCTCGGTGTGACGCTGCATCCTCCGGAGGAAGCCGATCACGCGGACGCAGGCTGGAAGGTGGATGTCGGTTTTCAGCTGGGCGACCAGTGATCCATGGAGGTTGGCACGCTGGACCGCCACCTGGTCCCGCAACATGGTGAGCACAGCGATGTCCTCGGTCCGCGACTCGTGCACCCGGAAGATGTTGCTGCAGTAGGCGAGGAGCTCTAGCGACTCGTCGTACATGTGGTTCCTGATGCACGCGTCCAACAGCTGAGGAAGCTCAAGGAGCTCCAGCAGTCCGCTGTGCTGCTGCAGCACGCTCCTTGCAGGCCGGGTCGGACGAGACAGGGTGGTTACAAAACCCGATTCTTGTCGTCGTCCTCCTCCTCCTCCTCCTCCGCCTCCTCCTCCTCTTCTTCCTCCTCCATCCCTCTTCCTTCCAAATAAGTCCTCCCTGTCGCACCTCAAAGCTAGGCAGAAGGGCGGGCCGGGCGGCTCGCCTGAGACTTCATTACCATTGCTGATCCTGACGCCTTGAGAATTGGCAACAGTTTCACAGGTGCAGGGTGGGTCGCTTCCAAGATGTGGTTCTGACCTTAGCGCCGTGCATACTCGCCATAAAGCATTGCAAGGGCTTCACGGATTGAGGGTGGGTCATTTTCGAAATGTGGCTCGCGCCTTCGCGCCGCGCACATTCATTTTGCAAAATCAAGTCTTGACGGATTGAGGGAGGCTCCTTTTCAAAGTGTGGCTCTCGCCTTAGCGCCGCGCATATTCGTTGTAACAAGTCGCAGGAGTTTTAAGGATTCTCATGGCTAACGTACCAGAAATATCGTTTTGGAGCGATTCAGGACTGTCAGGGCGCAACAGTTATGTTTATTCGCGGAATTGGAATCCCAGGACAGGCGTTCTGGCCCGATCCAGGACGCAACAATCAAACTGATTCGCGGCGTTGAAGTGCAGACAATGGTGTTTGCACTCTTCAGGATCTTCAAATGGTTGCCTCCCGACGGGGCACTTCCCTCAGTGCAGGTGAATTCTTGCAGTGGCCTATTTGAACAGGGAGCTTGGAGGGAGGGTCCCTTCCAACGTCGTTGAGGAGCCTTGGGCTTGCACTGGTTCCGCTCCTCCTCAGCGCCCTCGTCGTCGACGTCCTCGTACTGTTCCCGACCTTCTCGGGGGTCGGCGGAGAGGCGCAAGCCTCTTGCGCAGAAGGCGGGGGCTTCGCGAGTGAGCTCGCGCAGCTGCTCTGCAAACGCCTCCCAGCGCCACAGAGGCGCTAACGCATCGAAGAACGCGCCCGGCGGCGGGGCTGCTGTCCGCTGCACGCAGGATTACATTGTTTCGCGTCTCGCGATAGCGGCAGTTACCGGCCCCTGCCGCAGCGCCCCCCCTCGGGGACGTCCCGACTCGTGCTGACCTCCGGTGTGCCACTGGCTATTGCAAAACATTAACAGACGGCGCCGGCGCGAAACGTGAGGTCACCGACCACCCGCCCCCGCCCCCCTCCCCCCCCCCTGGTAACGCCCGTCACTGCCTGCGGATAAGAAAAACGCTTTCCAGCAGATGTCGTGACCCCTCTTTCCCCAGTCCCCCCTTTTGCCCGACCCGATCCTCAGAGCCGTGCGTCGCGCGCCGAGGCCTGCCGACGCTTCCTGAAACTCCTGGATTGCCGTCTGCATCGGCCCGATCGTCTCTATCACGCTGTCCAGATGCCGCTGCACGGCCCCCAGCTCCCCGCGGACAGACTGCGTGACCTTCGCGCTGCCGATGAAGGCCCCGTAGTTCTTCACCGCGAGCTGCTCCATCTCCCGCTCGCACCTCGCCTTCTTGGGCGCTGCTTCACGGGGGAGGCGTGCGAAGTCACGTGCACCTCTCTGAGCCCCGTGAAGGGCACGAAAGGTGCACCTCTCTGAGCCCTGAGAATTGCCGCCCCCCCCATTGCGCGACGCCCGACCTTCTCCTGCCGCAGCGCCTCCGGCTCCCGCGTCAGGCGCTCGCACGTGGACGAGGTCAAGTGGGGAAAATACGTTCGCGCCGTCTCCTGGGGAGCCACAAAGGTGCCCGCACCGCTATTCCACAGGCCACTCCCAGGGTGCGTTCTGACAAGAATTTCGAGGAACACCCGGCCGTGGCGACGAGGGCTCTCCGGGACGGGCAGCGGTATCGGTATTTGTTTGGCTTCCTCCCAAAAAATCCGGCGTTCCGATTTCTTCGCGACGCAGGCCCCCGACCTTTCGACCACTTCCCCCGGACCGGCTTTTCATCCCGAGTCGTTTGTTTGACACTCCCGGAGCCCGGCAATGACCCCGAAAGGCCGGAGACGATGAAGAACCTCCGTCTCGATGCTGTTCGAGCCGCGAGCATGTTTGGGCCCTGAACTCCAGCAGCGCGGGGTTGGAGCGGCCAAGGCCCGCCGCCTCCTCCCGGCCGAAGACCTGGGCGAGGAGCTCGTCGTCCGCGGACGAGCGCAGCCGGTAGGCCCTCTCGTAGCCTTCGAAGTCTGCCGCCATGGCCGGCGCGCCAGGGCGGCCAAGAAGCAGTGGGGGAGGGAAGAGGTGGTGGAGGAGGAGACAAGGGAAAAAGAGGAGGAGGAGGAGGAGGAGGAGGACCAGGAGTGAACCTAAGATGCATCAGCACATGTTGCAACACACGCAAACACACCCGTCCCATGTCCCCTCCTCATAAGTACATACACGTTTATTTCCCACTGCGGGCGTCCCCTTTGAATGACGAGCGGCGATTCGGTCCGCCAGTCGGACGAGGAGGCTTATTGTAAATGATCATCCCTCCACTTGTAGGACACCCAGAGTCGCCCCATTCTGAGAAACATATGTCCTCCTCCGCTTCAGCGCTGCAAGATGCCAGTGTCGTGGACCAGTGCTCCGCGGAAGTCCAATGAGCCTTTCATGGAGGCCCAGGGATGCCTCATCTTGAAAACAGCACGCCCTCCATCCGCCTAAGCGTTGCAAGGTGTTCATAGTGTGGACGCATGGTTCGCAAAAGTCTCACGACAGAGCCCCTCTTGGAAAGAGGAGCCGCCCTCCATCCGTATTACTTGGTGCACAATATGAAACGCCGGGTCGAAAAAAGGGCGAGGAGGGGTCAAGTGAGCGTAAACGGTGGACTTTATATGCGGACGCGCGCGAGGCCAAGGGGAGACCCCACAACGGCGCGGGCGTTAGGTAAAGAATGAGCCCAGGAAGCTGCAGACCCTGGAAGGCTTCTGATCTGATGAGGGCGGCGGTGATATCCATAGCCGATCCACGATTGGAGGTACACCGGCTTCCAGGCCCTGGGATCCTTGTCTAAGGGTTCCTTGTCCAATGTCCCCACCGTCTTCGAGAGGACTCGCCATCCACTCGCGCAACTAGGGACCACTTGGAGGCCAAGCATGCACGGCGCAAGGGCGAGACACTCTTTTTGAAAACGGCCCGTTTTTTGGTTCCGTTGTTTGGTCATGAAAAAACCATGGTGTGCGGCGCCAGCAAGGGAGAGCCCCATTGTGAAAACCGCTTGTTGTCCGCGTGTCAACGCGATCTGAATTGATCTGCTCCTTGAGACCTCCTGCGGAGACGAGGGCGATGAAGAGGAGGATGTGGGTGCTGTTGCTTCTGGTGGCGACGGCGAGCCTGGGAGCGCTTAGGGAGGGATGGTAGCGTGTGGGAGCGCCTGGGAATGTCTTGGAATTTCTGGGAGCGCCTCGGGCAACCTGGGGAGCGCTTGGGTCCAAAATCTGAGTCGGCGAGGGGTGCCCGAAACGTGCAGCTTATTCTGTAGTTGCTATCGATGTATTGTGTTGTTCTGCCATTTGTGCCCACGGGCTCTTCGGGGCCAAGGGGTGGGTCGATACTGAAGATCAGCCAAGGCGCACCGAATCCGCCGACCCTGTCGGCCGGCGTGTGTGAGGGGCTTGACTCTTCGAGTCGTTGTCTCCGTCAGCCGTCGTCTCCGTCGTCCCCTTTCCCTGCACCCTCCTCCTCAAGCTCGTCAGCGAGAGAAAATTCCAGCAATGTCATTATCGAGTCGAAGGGAAGCCTCATTCCTTTGATCCCTCCCCCGTCGGGGGGTGGGGGGGGACCCAGGGGGTAGAGGGGGTCCAGGGGTGGTCAGATAAGATCAGATACGATCCCCCCTCTGGGGGTCCTGGGGCCCCAGAAAGCACCAAGAGAGGCCAAGGGTGCCCCAAGTGGCACCCGCGAGGGCCCCCAATCGCCAAACGATCGGTCCGAAACGCCTTCACGCCCTCCAGACTGCCCAGAAGGCCTCCAGGACGCCTCAAGAAGGCTCTAAGAGCAGTCCCGAAAGGGCCCCAAGAGGCTCAATTCAATGATTTCCCGTTGTCTGTTAGAGAAAATGGGCGCTCTCGCTTTTCCACTTCCCACCGCTCCAAGACGGCGCAAGAGGCCCCCAAGATCGCCCCAAGACGGCCCAAAAGGCTTCAAAGAGGGCACCCAAACAGCCTAGGAGGACCCCCGGGCGGCCCAAAACGCCTCCAAGAAGGCCCAAGAGGCCCTCAAGACGACTCCAAGAGCGTGCCCAGGCGGGGGGCCCGAATGGACATTTCGAGCCCTCGGCCCCGAGAGGCTCCCAAGAGGCCCCGAGGTTCCCAAGAAGGCCCCAGAAGACCACAAGAAGGCCTCCAGGAGGCTCCCAAAAGGCCCCCAAATTCGTCCCCAGAGGCGCCCGAAAGCCTTCCGAAGAGACCCCCAAGAAGCATCCCTGAGGACTCTGGCTCACATCAGCGTCGTCGTCGTCACCGCCGCCGTCGTCGTCGTCGTCGACGTCGTCGTCGCCGTCGTCGTCGTCTCCCTTCAGGGTCGGCGGCACCGGCCGTAAGGCCTTCGCTATACAATGTTTATCACATAGGATGGGAAGGGTTGGGTCGGATGGATGCGCACCGAAATACATGTTATGCATCGAGTGATGCGGGCTGGGTCGGACGGCTGTGCAACGAATCGTGCTCTTCATCGTAGCCCCCCGCAGGCGCCGATGTTGCACAAGTTATACAACCCGCAAGCACATTTTTCGTCAAAGCAATGTGGGTGGGTCGTGGGTGGGTCGCGGGGTGTGTCGCGGGGTGGGTCGCGGGGTGGGTCGCAGGCTGGGTCGGGCGCGGGGTCGTGGGCTGGGTCGCGGGCGGGTCGCAAGCAAGGACGACAACAACAACGCATCATCAACAACAACAACAACAACACCACCACCAACAACAAACATAATAGCCACAACAACAACACGGATGACACGTGACCTAGTCACCCGTTCACCCGGAAACTTGGCCAACGCTTGTCCTTAAAGGACAACCCGCGACCTTCCCCCCGGGGTAAGCAACCCCCCGTGGCAACCAGCAACCAACAACCTCGGGCTCCATTCCTCGCTCCGCTGTAACTTCGCTTGCTTAAGGGTGCGAACTCATCCGTCATGCAATGTTTCCACGTCTGCACCATCGAAGCTGCGGAATCTATCGCTCCTAGACGTTCCCATAGGATCCTGTTGAAATCCTATAGGGATTCTGTAGGCATCCTATAGGGATCCGATCGGGAACCTATAAGGATCTTATAGGGATCCTATAAAGGGAGATGATGCGATCCTATCGGATCCTACTGGGATCCTATAGGATCCTGTGGGGATTCTATAGGGATCCGATAGGGAACCTATAAGGATCCTCTCGGAATCGTGTAGGGATTGTATAGGAATCCCATGCGACCCTGTAGGATCCGATAGGAATCGCGTATGGATTGTATAGGAGTCCTATGCGATCCTATAGGGTCCTATAGGGATCCGATCATGCGATCCTATCGGATCCTGCGGGGATCCTATAGGGATCCTATGTGATCCTACCGGGTCCTATAGGGATCATATAGGGATCCTGTGGGGATTCTATAGGGACCCCATGCGATCCTGTAGGATCCTATAGGAATCGTGTCCGTGTAGGGATTGTATACGAGTCCCATGCGACCTTGATAATCCCATGTGACCCTGTAGCATCCTATAGGAATCGTGCATGGGGTTGTATAGGAGTCCCATGCGATTCCATAGGATCCTATGGGGATTATATCATGCGATCGTGTAGGTAGGATCCTGTGGGATCCTGTAGGGGTCCTATGCGATCCTACCAGATCCTATGGGGATGCTGTAGGGATCCGATGCGATCCTGTAGGATCCTATAGGAAACGTGTAGGGATTGTATAGGAATCCCATGCGACCCCATCGGGTTCTCTAGGGATCGGAGGTGAGGGGGTGAGATCGAAGTGGAACGGAGAGCCCCCCCACCGGGAAATCGATTTCGGTTTCGTGTTCGTGCGTGCCGTGCGGGCGAGGCGAAGCTGCGTGGGCGGGCGAGGGAAAGTCTCCTGTGGCTGAGGCGCGGCCGGACCAAATGACTCCCTTCCGGGCGGCCGGTGGCCCGCGGTGTCCCGCCGGTGTCCCGCTGGTGTCCCGTGTGGCTGAGGCGCGGCCGGACCAAATGACTCCCTTCCGGGCGGCCAGGGGCCCGCGGTGTCCCGCCGGTGTCCCGCGGTGTCCCGCGGTGTCCCGCGGTGCCCCGCGGTGTCCCGCCGGTGTCCCGCGGTGTCCCGATGATGATGATGATGATGATGATGATGATGATGATAATGATGATGATGATGATGATGATGATGATGATGATGATGGTGATGCTGATGATGATGATGCTGGTGATGATGATGATGACGATGATGATGATGGTGATGCTGATGATGATGAGGACGATGATGATGATAATGGTATGATGATGATGATGGTGCCCCGATGATGATGATGATGATGATGATTATGATGTCGATGATGATGATGACGATGATGATGATGCTGATGGTGTCCCGATGATGAGGATGATGATGATCATGATGCTTATGTTGATGATCATGATGATGACGATGATGGTGTCCAAAAAGATGATGAGTATGATGATGTTGATGTTGATGATGCTGGTTGTGATTGTGTCCCGATGATGATGATGATGTTGATGAGGATGAGGTTGATGATGATTATGGCGTCCCGATGATGATGATTATTCTGATTGTGATGATGATGATGTTGTTGATGATGATGGCGTCCCGATGGTGATGATGATGATGATGTTGATGCTGATGTTGGTAATGATGATGATGGTGCCCCGGTGATGACGATAATGATGATGCTGATGATGATGTGGGTGATGCTGATGATGATGATGTCGATGATCAAGATGAGATGATGATAATGGTGTCCCGATGATGATGATGATGAGGATGATGATGATGATGATGATAACGATGGTGATCATGATGGAGTCCCGATAATGATGCTGCTGATGATGATGATGATGATGATGAAGATGACTGTGTCCCGATGCTGCTGATGATGATGATGTTGATGATGATGATTGTGATGATGGTGATGATTGGTGGTGTCCCGATGATGTTGATGACCGTGATGATGATGATGTTGGTGCTGATGATGAGGACGGTGTCCCGATTATGCTGATGTTGGTGATGATGGTGCTGATGTT